CGGTACTGGGGGAAAAAAAAATTGGGCAGTACAAACAATGTGATCTCCAAATTACCAGCCTCAGAAGAGTTCTTAAATCAAAGCACTCAGGATTTATGGAATCCCAACAATCAGAACATGACTCCAAGGGAGATGCCACCAGAGGACAAATGTGGCACGGAGTGACTCTGCAAGTTGACTTCCATGATTCATTCAGTCAAAACCGTTGCTTAACTTGCGCTGATCTGAGGGCAAAGAGGAGAGTTGCAGTCGAGCCTGCCTGGTTCCTCTACTCTGTTTAATACAATTGCCACAGTTTGACACATCCTAACCACGCTGCTTTCTTTGACAACTCCAGCTTTGACGAGAGAGCAAGGATGTCTCCTTTTTGACAGGAACAGTGTGTGAAATGAAAGACTTCAGGTGAAGTACCAGCTCCTGACAGTTCAGAAGAAAGCACCTCCCACCTGCTCTCTGCTGTGCCAGTGCAGGTGAGTCACCTCATCGCCAGCCAGGCAAGTATTTTAAGAAACGAGAAGTCAAAAGCTGGAACCAGTAGAGAAAGATGAGGGATGGAGTATTGCCATTAGCTTCCAGGGTGTCTTGTTGTCATGGTGCTAGGAAAATCACTTCCATTTGAATCCCACTCACCAGCTGTTTTGCTGGAATTTTTACATGAGAGGCTGGTGGCCATCATAACACAGGCATGGGACATGGTGTACACACGCATAGACCTGCAGCAGACACCCACTCCACAGAGTTCACACTGGTTGCCTGACGTAGTTGAAATGCTGTGCTCATGCAGATGACAGCTCTGTTCCCCCATATCAGCTTGCAGACAGCCTGAATGACTCTGCTGGTTACCCATACCATGTGATATCACCGGAAGCTTCTTTGGAGCAGAGCTGCCGGAACTGCATGAACCCACCTCAACCTCTGCTCCCTGGTCCAGCACTTGGCTCTGGACAATGCCTCCCTGTTGCCTGTTTCTTAAACATTAGTTGAAGGATCAGGTCTCACACCATTCTGAGAGGTGGGGTCAGCCCTTGTGGAGCAGTGGGATGGGGAAATGACCTATCACTTCCATGCTGGGGCAGGCATTCCATACCCTGGTGTTGCTGGGCAGATGACCACCCCCCTGCCCAACCCAACCTTGCCTGGCATCAACACTGTTCCTTGTATCTTCCCTGAAGGGGCAAGGACAGGCATTTGTCAAGCCCAGGAAGCTAGTTCTGAACAAGAAAATTAGTGGGTGATGGTGCTGGAAGCCCCTGAGGATGAACTGCGCTCCCCACTCAGACCTCACACAGGGCTGGCTGGCTTGCTCTGGCTCTTCCCTCAGCTGCCCTTACCTGGGGACAACAGGGGCGGTGTAGGCAGGGGGCTGCCTTGCTTCCTGGCTTTTCCTGAATCCCCTTAGTAAAACTAAACTTTCCTATGAACGTAAAAAACAAGCAAGCTCCATAGCAGGGCCTCGTGGACCCCTCCCCCAAATTCTGGCTCAGGTTTGGAGCAGGCTGATTTTTACTAAGGGCTCAAGAGATTTGATTGCAGGTGGTCCTAGACCACACTTTGAAAAACTCTGGGGCAGAGACAAGTCAGCAGGCACATGGGATACATCTGGTAGGAGTGGCAATTGACTTAGTTTCTAAAAATAGTGTTACAAGCTAAATTGTGCCCCCTACCAAATTCCCATATTGAAGCCTTAACTCCCAGTTCCTACATATGTGACTGTATTTGGAGATTGGGCCTTGAAAGGTGTAATTAAATTAAAGTGAGGTCATTACAGTAGGCCCTAATCTAATATCACTGGTGTCATTAAAAGAAGAGTTGATTACAACACAGACACACATAAAGGGAATGTTACAGGTACCTAGAAGCCAGGCCTGCAGAAGCCCAAAGGGTAAATAAAAGTAGGATAAAAGCTTGGTGTTTCTGACTTCATCTTATATATGTCTCCTTTATTACCTCAAAACTTTGGGTCAGATCCCTGATCAGCTCTGCACATAGCCCTGTTAATCACTTAAAGAGTGTCTGTATCAATACAATTTATTAGCCCTAAATTTGCCTAGCCTATCTCATCCCCCTTCAGGATTGAAGACACCAAGATAAAAGCACCAAAGTGATTTTCAGGATTTGTAGGGACATCTAATTGCTAGATAGAATATCCAGTTCCAGACCTATCCTGGAGGGATGTCTAGAAGTCTTAAGTCATTGTCATAAACCTGCAGCCACCTCAGATTCCAGGAAAAGCAGAACCCTGAAGATAAATCCATGATGATGTCATCCACCAAGTGGAGCAGTTCCCCCATGACAGGAACCGAGGCTATCCCCAAAGCAGGAGCCATCATCTCATGATAAACTGCCCCCTCAAGCCATGCTGGCTTCTCTGGAACCTCGAAGAACCAGTCCTGAGACACAGACTCACCAGACCAGGACCTGACTAGCATTATTTGTGCTATGCAAATCCCCAGCCCTTGCCTTTGTTCCCCTTTTCTATAAAACCCCAAATTTCTATCATCCTCTCAAATACAGATAGATCTTGAACCTCTCTGTGCTTCCCAGCACGACCATGCTGGTTAAAGCTCCTTTTCTGCCTTTCCCTGCTGCCCATCTCCTGGATTGGTCTGAGAGGACAGATGGCAACCAAGTCCCTCTGTTAGGACCCTGGAGATGGGTCTATTGTCCTAAAATTCCGACAGGAAGACCACGTTAGAACAGAGGGAGGAGATGACCATCTGCAAGCCAAGGAGAGGAGGCTTCAAAAGAAACTAACCCTATTAACGCCTTGATCTTAGACTACTAGCTCCAGATCGTCAAAAAAATACATTTCTGTTATTTAGCCATGCAGTCTGTAATATTTTATTATGGCAGCCAGAGCAGAGGAATACAAATTCAGAACCTGATTTCAGTCAATAATCATCTCAGAAGGTAGAGATTCCTTCAATATAGTGGACAATAAGGTACATTTATAGACCAATGGATGTGAGCCCCAGGCCTGGAGTCATAGAGGTAACACAGTCTACACAGAAAGTGTCCAGTGGCATCTGATGTCAGATATTCCTGTGTCAAAGACCAGACAGGGTCTTCTTCCCTGACCTTAGACAGCATTTATTATTTTATTTAACATGGATATAATGCTTATTATGTGCCATGTAATATTCTAAGCACTATACACATATTAACTCATTAATCCTCATTACTGCCCTGTAATATATATGGTGAAGGTCCATAATCCCTTACTAAAGCCCTGGAGGCCAGCAATGTTTGGCAGGTCAGAATGTCATACAATGCACACTGTGGCATCTGCAACAGAATCCTATAGTCAAACATGCTACTTTGTCTATAAATGTATATGGTGCATAAAAACTGTGAGTAGCCTTGTATCAGTTTAAAAATTTTGCCAGGCATGGTGATACATGCCTGTAATTCTAGCTACTCAGGAGGGCAAGTCAGGAGGATCAAAAGTTAAAGGCCATATAGAGGTACAAGAGCCCAATGGTGAATGTAACTGTATTATATACCTAAAATATACCAATATACTTAATGGGGAAAAAAAGTTAAAGGCCAACCTGAGAAATTTAACAAGACCCTATCTCAAAATAAAAAATAAAAAGGACTGGGAATCCAGCCTCTCAGTGATAGAGTGCTTGCCTAACATGTGTAAGCCCCTTGGTTCAATTCCTAGTACTACAGGGAGTAGGGAGGAGTGGTCCAGAGACAGGATTTTGTATAAATTGTGGTTATTCGTATTTCAGGCCAGGTTTTGCTGTTGGATGAATTACACATTCAATTTTTGGTATTCAGAGCTTTTAAGATTTTGAAATTGTGGAGCACACATCATCCCTATCTTAGAGCTAAAAAAACAGGGGCACAGGGAGTGTAAACGAATTATCACATTTGTGAACTCACTGGAGATGAGGCTGGGCTCCCTCCAGGCCATGTGGCCCTAGAGTCCATGTTGCTTATGCCCACCTGGCTGGGCACCTCTAGGCTGCCTGCCTTGCAGAGCCTGACCCACCAGGAAAATGCAGATCATGCCCTGCTGTGAGGATCAGATACATTGTAGGTTGACTTCTGTTATGGGTTGAATTGTGTCCTCCAAAATTTATATGTTGAAGATCCCAAGCACAGTATTTCAGAATAAAACTTTATATAGAAATAACATCTCTGAGAATATAAATAGCAAAGATGAGGTCAATAGAATTGACCCCAATCCAATACAGCTGGAGTCCTTATAACAGGGAGAAATTCAGACGGAGAATTCAGTCATGCACTCAGGGCGAAGGCAGAGACCGGTGCTTGTACAATTAAGGAAAGCCAAACATCACTGGCTCTCTCTAGGAGCTAGGACAGACAGGCGTGGAACATATCCTTCCTCTAAGTCTTCAAAAGGAGGTGACCCTTCCAGTCCATTGGTCATGGTCTTCTAGCCTCCAAGACTGTGGGACAATAAAATTCTGTTATCTAAGCCACATGGTTTGTGGAACTTTGTTTCAAGAGCCCTCCAAACTAATTCAAGATCCTTACCCACCACTGGATTCTCAGAGCAAGGTCAATAAATGGTAGCTAATCATACTTATTAGGCCTGAGGCCCTGAGTTTTAACTATTTATTTGTTTGTTTGTTTGTTTATTTTGTGATGCCAAGGATCAAACCCAGGGTCTTGTTCATGCTAGGCAAGTGCTCTACCACTGTGCTCTACAAGTGCTCTATCCCCAGCCCCTTGAACCCTTGAACTCTTCATTGAAGAAAAAGTCAGTGAATTAAATTATTGTTAATCCTCTTCCAAGTTCCAAGTGTCTCTCTCTCTCTCTATATATATATAGTGCGTGTGTGTGTGTGTGTGTGTGTGTGTGTGTGTGTGTGTGTGCTGGGGATTGAACTTGGGACCTTGCACCTGCAAGGCAGGCGGTGAAACCACTGAGCTAAATCCCTGGCCCTATTTTCTACATTTTTAACATGAGGATAATTCAATTCCACCTGTGCCAATGGTCTGGCTCTTATGGAATTCTTTGTTGCTTTTTTTTTTTTGGTACCGGGGATCGAACTCGGGTCCTTGCGCTTGCACAGCAGGCGGCTAAACCACTGAGCCAAATCCCCGGCCCCTCTTTGTTGCTGTTTTAAGGATGGACTCATGTAAAGGTAATCTTCAAAAGCAGAACAACTTCTTTCTCTCTGCTATGGCTCATGGCTGTGGCTCTGCTTTGCCACATTAAAACTAAACTGTGTGAGACTTAATTTGTCTTCCAATGCCCCTGCTTGTATTAAGAATTCACTGGGCCCTGGGCCTTTCTGAATCTCTTCTGCTTGGGTCTACAGGGTCATGGAGTTAAACCCTCACATAAGTTTGGGGTACAAATACTTCAGAGGACAGAAGAAACCTAAGTTACAGCTGGTTTTCTGTGAGTTAAAAGTGTGTAGCCTGGAAAATTTAGGCCCTTCTTGTGGAAAATTGACCCCTCTCTGCGTGATAAAAGATGCTTTAAGAAAGTTCAAAAGGCCTTCGAATATTTTTCTGTCCAAAGAACCAGGCATGATTGGGCCTGTCTAGGAAAGAGGTAAAATGCTACAAAGCTTTTCTCAGGCTGTAGTGGCAGGAATCCCTCTTATTGAGCTAGTTTGGAGCTTTAAGCCTCTTCTTCCCTTAAGAGTCAACCATATCAATTCAGAAAATGACTCTCTGTGGTGAGGGATGACCCCAAACTCCCCATCTGTGGAACCAGGACTTTAATCGGTATGTGTGTTCAAAGGATGGCCCTCAGGCCTGGCCATACAGTGTGTTCTCAAGCCACCTCCCTAGCTCCCTGGCAGCCCCTCAGCCTCTGTCCACCATTCCCAGAACCTTTCCTGGAAGCACTTCTGCACCATACCATGAGGTCTTTCTAGTCTCCCCACAGGCCCATCCCACAGCCAGCATACACTTAAAGCTTTTCATCTCTGCTCCCTGTTCCTGCAAAAGCAGAACTGTGTTTTCTCCTATGTCACCCACAGATTCTGTAGGGTTACAAAAATGGTTGAAGGGTAGAGGGTGTCACTTTTGAGGATCTCATGTTGATGATTTTTTTTTTTCTGGATACCGGGATCGAACTCAGGACCTTACGCTTGTAAGGCAGGCATGGTGCCACTGAGCTACATTCCCGGTCCCTTATGTTGATGATTCTATTCCTTGCTCACATGGGAGATTTAATTAAATTAGAGGAAATGTCTAATAGATTGAGCTGCTTGAGAGTGGAGATGATATCTTGTTCCTTTTTGAGTCCTCTGTGCTTAGCTCCAAACCTGGCACAGAGTAGGTGCTCAATAAAATTACTTCTTGAATGAATGAACTTTTACTTTTCTTTGTTCTTCAGAGAGGTGCTCTGACAAGTATTAAGTCCAGGCATCCTGACCACAGACAAGGTTGTAAGATGCTTCTGCTTCCTAACAGCTCTCATAAGCCACATCCGATAAAAAGGTCCTGGCATCAAAAGGCAGATAATGCAAAGTCTAGGGCTGGCTGGACCATTACTCAAGTGCCCAATTAGTGACCATTACTCAATCTTCCCATGGCTCCATCTCCTCCACTTCAACATGGAAGTAGCAATGTCTGCTTTGCATACCTTCCTGGATGGTTATGAGAACATGACAAAAGAACAGCTGGGGGTGTTGCTCAGCAGTAGAACACTTGCCTAGCTATACAAGAGGCCCTGAGTTCAATCCTCAGCACTGCAAAATATTTAAAATGATAAAAGAACAAATATGAAAGTACCCTAGAAGTTTCAAAGACCACATATTACTTTTATTATTGTTAATAATATTACAGATAATTGTAGAGCTGAGCTGCTCATAATTACTTTTTACTACCTCAGTCTCCTTTCTTCAAGGACCAATGCCAAGTTTACCTCCTACTCCACTGCAGGGACATCTAATTGCTCACAGAAATATCCATCCTGGAGAGGCCAGGCATGCCAATTACTTGCCCTGTGGACCTTAATCATCTGCCTGGTCAGCAAACATTCTGCATCACAGGTGGCAAGTACAACGTTAAGTCACAGAAGACTGGCTGAAGGATGGCTGCTTCCTGATGGAGTTTCTGTGCCATGGCCATCCAGAGTGGAAGCAGAGGGCTGTGCTCTGCAACATCCTTGAACCAGCTGCAGAGTCCTTGGCCTCACAATATGTGCAGAGGGTGAAGTGATTTGGAAGGGGGGGCGGGCAGCAGCCAATGGCCAGCAGAGTACAAGCAGTAGCCCAGGCCTCCTGATTCCAGGCCGGCTCTTCCTGTAGGCTTGTCACCTCTCCCTGGGGGTAGTGATAGGTGGTGCCCCGCTTCCTCTTGGACCCTGGCACAGATGCTGTTGCTAAGGTAGCTGCTGATGAGAAAACAAAAGCAGCCCATGGAGTCCTGCTACTTCACTTGTGTGTCCACACAGTTCCTGTCTCTGGAGGAGAGATGCAGTCAGGCTTATCGATCTGGGCTGAGGAGTGTGCTGTGCCCTGCAGAGAAATGTCTGACTTGTGTGGCCACCCATGTTCCCCAAGCACTCTCCCTGGGCATGTTTCTGGACAAGAAGTTACAACTGGGGGCAGATGCTGAGGGACTGAAATTACTACTCGGTGCCAGTTGTCAGGATGTGGCATGACTGAATTCATCCACAGCCCTGATTCTAGCTGAATGTCCTTGGTTCACTTGGAACATCTGTAAAACAAGAGGGCTGGAGGCATGAACTCAGCTCTGAGTTCTGTGTCTCTGGCTTCCCTGTTTTCTCCTGAGATGGTCCCTCCCCGCAAAGCTTTCAGAAAAGGATTATATTCAAGGAGCTATGTGATTCCAGGTGGTTGATTTTCACTTGCTCCTAGGATGTGCTGGCTAATGAGCCCATCATTCAGGGCTGTCGAGAGCCATTCTACATAAATTTGGAGGGGAAATCATTTCATAATTAAAGTACAGCTATAGCGAAGGCCCAATGTCACCTTGCCTGTGAGCCAGCTATGGCATGCGGAAACAATTCCGTTTTGCCTCTGGTCACAAGTTGAGGCCTCAAAGGTCCCCTGATACTGTGATGCTCAAGGGCAAGAGTACATCAGTTGAGGACCCTGCTGGTTAAAAGAGAAAGGTTTCACCTGGGGGAAGAATAACTTCTTTATTAGCCTGCTATCTCCTTCTACCTATTGTAAGAATCCTTTCCTTACTGCCCTCATCAACATAAGATCCTCAGTGACCTAAGATCCTCATCAACATAAAATCCTCATCAACATAGGGTTACCACCACCTCCTAAGTCACCTGATACTTCCTCCAATTGTTGTGTGTACCCAATAAAGAATGGTTAGCTCGGAGTGTCTTTGTCTTTGCCCCCTCTGAGGCACTGACCTCTCAGCCCCCATGTACTATGAAATCACACAAGTCTCTATTGTCTTTTTGTTTAGCCCTCGACATCCTCCTTTGACTGCCACCCTCCGATACAGGGCTGTCCTCCATCCTCACCTCTTGTTCTTAACCTCCCTTAGTAGACCCACCACAGTTAGTCCAGAAGGAGAGAGAAGAGGAGGCATTTAGTGAACACTGACAGCTCAGAGGAGCTCAGAGGAGGATCAGATCATGGAGAAAGGCTAAAATCTAGTGTAAGCGGTAGAAAAGGAATAGAAAGGGTGAAAGGCCTGCACTCCTGACCTCTAGCCATCCCTGGAAGAGAGCACCTCTGTTTCTAAGGTTGGATTTCATTTAGGCACTCTGGTTTAGGACCTTACTTTCCTTGGAGTGTATGTTGGAGGAAGTAGATCAATTCTAGAAGCTTGTGAGAGCTGTGGGCTCACAGAGTCTGGGAGAAGCATGAGCTACTGAAGGGGGATCAAGACTCAAACCTCAAAGTCTGAATCCTGGCCCTCGCTCACTGAGTTTCTGCCAAAAAAGAAAGAGGGTTAAGGAGGTCTTTATACCATGGCTTTACAAAGCAAACTGACTGCAAATCAACCAGTAGAAAAGCACCCAGGAAATAACTGGCTATAAAAGGTGTTCATAAGGGGGCAACCTCTACTGGACAGGGGAAGAAACCTCATCATTACAGGCCTGGTATTGTGGCACTCAAGAAATTATACCTTATTAGAAGTTCAATGAACTGATTCCCAACCACGCTTTTCTGTGTGTGGTGCAAGAAATTGCTCAGAACTTCAGATTTGTGCTTCCAGAGTGTAGCTACTGCTGCTTTGTGATTGGCAAATGAGGCCTATTTGGTTGGTCATTTTGAAGATACAACCTGTGTGTTATCCAGGCCAAACATGTAACAATTATGCCAAAATATATCCAACTAGCATGCTGCATACATGGAGAACATGTTTAAGAATCCACTCTGATGAGCTGGGTATGGTGGCTCACACCTGTAATCCCAGCACTTGGGAGGCTGAGGCAGGAGGATTGCCATGAGATTGAGGCCAGTCTGGGCTACATAGTGAGTTCAAGCCCAGACTGAACTACATAATGAGACCCTATATTAAAAAACAAAACAAAACAAAATAAAATCAGTACGATGGAAAACATTTTATTCTAAAAAATATTTTTTTCTGTTCTTCCTGGTATTTGGCAGTTCTGAATGTAAAAATTTTCTCTCCATGGAGTCAAAATTTACCCAAGTATATGACTGTCAAGCAGAAAAATAGGGGACAGAAATCAAGTATTGGCAGTTTTTCCATTTTCATCCATGTGTGAAATTTTAATAAAACGTGGGGATGTGAAGCATTAATGCAAGTGAAAATTTTTTGATGAACAAGTTTCAGCAGTTCAACCTTACAACATTATAAATAAACCTGTTTGTGCCGGGGATTTAGCTCAGTGGTTTTGCTGCCTTGTGTGCAAGTGCAAGGACCCGAGTTCGATCCCCGGTACCAAAAAAATAAATAAATAAATAAACCTGTTAAATTTTTCCAGACAAGGCCAGCATTTGGATTTTTATTTTATTTCATTTCATTTTATTTTATTTTTGGGTTACCGGGGATCAAACTCAGGACCTTGCGCTTGTGAGGCAGGCAGTGGCTCCACTGAGCTAAATTCCTGGCCCTGGATTTTTAAAAGGAAGTAAATTTCTTATTGATGGCCAAAAAAAGCTGAACGCTGCACCCTCTCCAGCTGAGCACTCGTATTAACCCAATCCACATTCCATAACTCCCTCTACCCAAAACATACAACCCGGCTCTCTGCATACAGCCTCTGCTTTTCTCCCTCTGTCATTATTCACTTTTCCACAGCTATATTCAAAAGAGTACATTGGCTGGACATGGAGGCTCATGCCTGTAATCCCAGCTACTCAGGAGGCTAAGGCGGGAGGGCTACAAGTTCAAGGCCAGCCTGGGCAACTTAGCAAGTCCCTGTCTGAAAATAAATTTTAAAAATAAAGGGGCTGGGCCGGGGATTTAGCTCAGTGTTTCTGCTGCCTGCCTTGCAACTGCAAGGACCTGAGTTCGATCTCCGGTACCAAAAATAAATAAATAAATAAATAAATAAATAAATAAAGGGGATGGGCCAGTTGCTTCAGCATCTCAGAGCTGCTATGTTGCAGATCCCATGGGTTGCTTAGCCAAGATGCTGGGGAGACTCACCCAGGACCAGCTCATGGAGGAGGAGGAGGAGGAGGAGGTAGAGACATTCACCTTCCAGGCAGAAATTGCCCAGTTGATGTCACTGATCAACAACACTTTCTACTCAAAGAGATCTTCCTGAGGGATTGATTCCAAATTCGTCAGATGCTCTGGACAAAATTAGGTATGAAAGCCTGACAGATCCCAGTAAATTAGATTCCAGCAAGGAGCTGCACATTTATCTTATTCCAAACAAGCAAGATCGAACCCTCACCATCGTGGATACTGGGATCGGAATGACCAGGGTTAACTTGATGGATGACTTCAGCACCATCACCAAGTTGGAGACCAAGGCCTTCATGGAGGCTTTGCAGGTTGGCACTGACAACTCCATGACTGGCCGGTCAGGTGTGGGTTTCCACTTGGTTGCTGAGAGAGTGACTGTGACCACCAAGCAAAGCGATGATGAGCAGTATGCCTGGAACCTTCAGCAGGCAGGTCCTTCAATGAGGACTGACAAGGTGAACTCCGTGGCAGAGGAGCAAAGGTTATCCTGCATCTGAAAGCAGACCAAACTAAGTACGTGGAAGAAAGAAAAATAAAAGAGATTTGAAGAAATATTCTCAGTTTGTTGGCTGTCCCATTACTCCCTTTGTGGAGAAGGAATGAGATAAAGAAGTGGGTGATGATGAGACTGAAGAAATGAAAGATAAAGGGCCAGGGATTTAGCTCAGTGGTTTAGCCGCCTGCTGTGAAAGCACAAGGACCTGATTTCGATCCCTAGTACAAAAAAAAAAAGAAATGGAAAATAAAAAGGAAGACAAAGACAAAGAAGAAAAGGAGGCTGATGACAAACTTGAAATAGAAGATGTTGGTTCTAATGAAGAAAAGAAGGATGGTGACAAGGAAAGAAGAAGATTAAGGAAAAGTATATTGATCAAGAAGAACTGAACAAAACTAAGCCCATTTGGACCAGAACCCCTGATATTACTAACGAGGAGTATGGAGAGTTAGTTCTGGAAGAGCTTGATCGATGACTGGGATTTCCTGGTGGTGAAGCATTTTTCCATTGAAGGACAGTTGGAATTCAGAGCTCTTCTTTTTGTCCACTTCTTTTTGTCCTTTTGACCTATTTGAAAATAGAAAGAATGGATAACTATGAGGAGCAGATCCCTGAACACCCGAATTTCATTAGACAGGTGGACTCTGAGGATCTCCCTTTCAATATTTCCTGGGGAGTGTTGCAACAAAGCAACATTTAGAAAGTCATCAGAAAGAATTTAGTCAAAAAGTGCTTAGAATTGTTTGTTGAACTGAAATACAAGAAGTTCTATAAGCAGTTTTCTAAGAATATAAAGCTTGGAATACATGAAGACTCTCAGAATCAGAAGCTTTCAGAGCTGTTACTGTACTACACATCTGCTTCTGGGGACGAGATGGTTTCTCTCAAGGACTATTGCACTAGGATGAAGGAGCACCAGAAGCACATCTATTATATCACAAGTGAAACCAGGGGCCAAGTAGCTAACTCGGCTTTTGTGGAATGGCTTCAGAAGCATGGCTTAGAAGTGATCTATAGGATCGAGCCCATCGACAAGTGTCCAACAAAGAATATTAAAAGGATATTTAAAAGGAATATAAACAAGGAATATTTGTGTCCAACAACTGAAGGAGTTTGAGTGGAAAACTTTAGTGTCAGTTACCACAGAGAGCTTAGAACTTCCAGAAGATGAAGAGGAGAAAAAGAAACTGGAGAGAAAAAGACAAAACCTCTGCAAAGATCATGAAAGACATCTTGGAAAAAAAGGTTGAAAAGGTGATTGTGTCACACCAATTGGTGACGTCCCCATGCTGTATTGTCACAGGCCCATGCAGCTAGACAGCAAACATAGAAAGGAATCAGAGTGACTCAATGATGGGTTACATGGCAGCAAAGAAGCACCTGGAATTCAACCCTGACCACTCCATTATTGAGACCTTGAGGCAAAAGGCCGAGGCTGACGAGAATGACGAGACTGTAAAGGAGCTGGTCATCTTGCTTTAGGAAACTCCACTCTTGTCCTCTGGCTTGTCTCGAAGACCCCCACACCCATGTGAACAGGATTTACAGGATGATCAAGCTGGGTCTCCGTATCGCTGAGGAGACCACACTCTGCTGATTACACCACTGCCGCTGTCACTGAAGAGATGCCGCCCCTTGAAGGAGATGACAACAACATGTCACGCATGGAAGAAATGGACTAAGTTCTGCTGAAGAATCAGGCAGAGCTTAGTCCATTTCTTAGGTAATATATATTTTCAAGGGTTTTTTTGTTAACATTTAAATCTGTATGTCCTGATAACTGCTTAAGGGGAAGATAAGATTTCTTTCTACTTTTAAGAGATGCTGTGATACTTTAGGCACTAAAGCAGAGCTAGCAATGAATTTTTTGGTTTCATCTTGGTTTATTTTAACAGGTTGAGATGTTTGTGGTAAGATGTAACTTGCTGTTAATTTTGTGAGGTCTAAAGTGTTTAGTTATCAAACCAGATTCCTTAGTAGAACAAATCTTTTGTCTCTGAAGTGTTGAGACATGTTGATGTTTAAAGGAATATTTGTTAAAATAGCTTGAGTTTTCATTTGTAGGATCTACTTTTCTAAAACTCTACCCTGTAGTTTCAGTTCTGTGTGTATTAGGCGTCTAGAAATAAGCATGTTAAACTCAAGTAACTTGATGGCAGAAACTCCACGGGGCTTGTTTTCCAAAGAAAAGTATTGTTTAGAGGAATAAACTAAACTTCTAGGTAAAAAATACATAAATAAATGGGATGGTGTGTAGTTCATTGATGAAGCCATTGCCTACCACATCCAAGCAAGGCCCTAGGTTTAGTCCCCAGTACTACAAAAAACAGGGGACAGGGGTGTGTACAATGGCTGCAAGTTCAGAACACCGCTCTTATGAGCCAGGGTGAACGGGAATGTAGCTGAGATTCCAGACCAACTGGAGTCAGGCTCAGATTCTACCACTTTCCTGCTCTCATCTCTTGTCTCCTTTTCTCTCCAGTTGCCCACTTCATTCTCTCTTGTGTCATGCTGGTTTCCTCCATGTTGCAGGAAAAACTGTGCATACACACCCTTCCACACAGCCAAGCAAGAATTTAAAATTTAAGAATTTAAATTTAAAGAATTTAAATCTTTAAATTCTTACACCAGAAAGCCCCAACTAAGGATCAACATGGCTGTGCTTGGTCAGGTGTCACTACAGTGCAAAGAGAAGTGAAGACAAGGTCAAAGTAGTTGGCTCTTTGTAGGATACAAAAAGAGATTTCCAGGCTACAGCTACAGTACTCTGAACTAGGCCTGGTTAGTACTTGGATGGGGGAGAGGAGGTTTTCAGAAAAGATGAGAGAAGTGGTGAGCTGACAATTCCATGGCTACTTCACTAGGCCTCACTCCAACTTCCGGGCCTGACTCAATAGTGACCTTCTCCAAAAGCCCTTCCAGTCCCATATGGGCTGGAGATAACACTCCCCCTCTCCACCTTCCCAGAATTTCCATCTGTGGCTCCCTGTGCACTTAGCACCTGTTCATCAGGTACTCGCCTTTCGAATAACTTTTAAAAAATGCAAATATGTGCTCATTAAAGGAAAATTTAGAAACATAGATAAACAAAAATTAAAAAACTAAAATTACTCATAGATCTCCCACCTAGAAATAAATACTCATTCAGCATTTGGGGGTGGGAGAAGTATTTCAATCTGTGTCTTTGTTCTCTGCCTGCATCCAGCTCTTGAAAGGCCACATCCAAATCTCACCTCCTCTCTGTGTACCCTGAAAGCCACCACATGCTTGCTTTGTAACAGGGGTTCCACTTGTGTATTTTTAACAAGAAGATGCATAAAGAAAGGAATAAACAAATGGATGAGTTAACAAGTCAGAGAAAAAAAATTCTAAAAGGTGCCCCAGAGGAGGCACTGAGAAAGGAAAAAAAAGGCATGAAGTCTCAGAGGGCATTTGCAGCCCATCCTCCCTGTCCCTTCCCCAGCCTGCTATGCCCATACTAGGGCAGAATCAGTGTCAGGAAGTGAGTGGCACAGAGCAAACAGGTGGGACCTAGCCAGTGACCATTAGTGGAAATGTAGAAACTGAAGCCCTATCCCACAGTGTGACTTGGAAATGTCAGCTATGGCTTAAGGGAAAAGAGGATTCATGGAAACAACCAAGTCAGGGTCACCACATGCATGTAACATTTTAGGCTCAGCAGGCAGTCTGGCAAATTTAAAGCCTCTTGTGAATGGGTTCGAGGAAATCTGATTTTAGCAGTCCTATTGACACAGGAGTGTCTGCATGATGTGCCCCTCACTGAGTTGAAGATTATCATTGATTTATCTGGAACAGAAACAGCAGGATTCCACATCACATCTTGGAAGGAAGCCTGGGCAAAGGCAGAGAATTAGCAGATATTTATTATTAATTCCAATACCACAACTCCCCATGGGACTGTACAGTAAATCACAGGCTCTCTTAATGGGAGTTTCTCCATGGTTAAGCAGAGCTAATGTTTTTATACAGAGCAAGTCCTCATTCTCAAGTATAAAGGCAACCTCAAAAATCACAAATATTCATTAATCATACCCAAGTCCAGAATATGGTACATGCGGCCGGGGATTTAGCTGAGTGGTTTTGCCGCCTGCTGCGCAAGTGCAAAGACCTGAGTTCAATCCCTGGTACCAAAAAGAAAAAAGAAACACACCTAATTCAAAAAGATATTCATAGACTGAAAGTAAAAGGATAGAAAACAGTTCTCCATGCCACAGGAACCTGGAAAAAAAGCAGAATATGGTACATGCGAAAGAAAAAAAAAAAAGAAGAATATGGTACATGCTACAGAGGATATAAAAGAAGTAGGATGATCCCTATATTTCATGTATTTCAACACCATACATTTATTCAGGCCCTTCTATGTGCCAAATGTATGCTACACACTGGACTTTATAGCATATTACAGTTAATATCCTTTTTTAAAGTGAAAATATGAAGTTCAGAAGGTTAAATAACTTGCTCAACTTACTCACAGTCTCTTACACAGTATTAGAAAAAGGGAAAGAATCTAACATGTATTATCATTTTAGTGCTATTAGAAATACTCAGCCAAGCTTGTCATGGTGGTGCGTGCCTGTAATATTGGCATTCTGGGAGGCTGAGGCAGGAGAGTCATAAGTTCTAGTCCAGCCTGGGCAACTTAGTAACCTATCAAGACCTTGTCTCAAAATAAAGCCAGGGATATAGCTCAGTGGCACCGTGCCTGCCTGGCAATCGCAAGGTCCTGAATTCGATCCCCAGTACCAAAAAAGAAAAAAAAATATGGCTGCTGTTTTAAAATAAATAAATAAATAAAAAGGGCTGGGGATGTAGCTCACTGTAAAGGCCTTGAGTTCAATCCCTAGTATTGGAAAACAACAACAACAATAGCTTAGCCAATATTTGCAAAAACCTCTGTCTCTTTAACCAAACTACGCACAGTTCATGCCAAGGGAGTAAGAAAGATGTGTGTACAATTTACTCTGTTATGGCTTGTGTTTAGATGTCCCCCTAAAGCCTCATTCGGTCATAGGTGGGGTTTTTTCAGAGGTGGCTGGATCTACAGTGGATGATTGATTCATGGTGCAATGCTAGGATTAAGGGTGCTAGTATTTTTTTATAAATCAATTGTACACAATTTATTTATTTATTTATTTATTATTTATTTATTTATTTTTGAGGTACTGGGGATCGAACTCGAGTCCTTGTGCTTGAAAGGCAAGCGGTGGAACCACTGAGCTAAATCCTCAGCCCTAAGGGTGCTAGGATTACGGATAAGTGCTTACTAAATCAGTCCACTGATTGGTTTGGCCCTATCCTAATCCCAGAAGTCTAGATAGAATATAAAAGGGGCAGAAAAAAGCTGCTAAGGTCCTTTGCTTGTTTTGCTACCTTCTGCCTACCATAAACTGCTTCTCCTCTATAATGCTATCTGCATCCCAACCTGCCCAGGAGCCAGTCAACTATGGACTGAAACCTCAACGAACTGTGAGCCAAATAAACCTTTCTTCCTTTAACTTTGGGTATTTTGTCTCACCAATGAGAAAAGTAACTGCCACCAGTGAGCCTCCCAGAAGAGGCTGATATGTGCAAAACCAAGTGTCCATTGGTCCCTGCCCTAGACTTTTCACAGTGGTCTGTGGATGCCTGCCCTTTTACGTGGTACTCGGAGAAGGCACTGGTGCAGGGGCTGAACACAGGCTCACAATCACCAGAGATGAGCAGGAGAGGAGCAAGTCTTGGTTTCCTAGCAGTGCTTTGCTTCTGACCTTAGTGTTTTTCCTTCTCAACTTGGAAGCAGCATCTGGTGCTAAAGGAAAGGAGCTTCAGCTCTGCAGTCTTGCAAACCAGGATTTAAATCCCAGCTCAGCCTCTTGGAAGTTGTATGAGCCTGAACACAATTCTCAGCCTGAGACTTCATTTTCTCCCCCACCAAATGGAGGCAATCCCTACCCTGCAGAGAGGTTTAATGGAGGCAATGCCTACCCTGCAGAGAGGTTCAATTAGGTAGAGTATGCACGATGTCTGCTGCTCAGCAGTTAATCAATAGTACCCATGATTATGGTCCAAACCAAATTTCACCCAAGAAATGATGTCATGATTGTTTTTAAGCCATGAACTAGCAAGAATTTATTAAAGATCTATTTTTCTAAACAAGAAGATTGATGAAGGTTGTGAGAAAGCCTCCCACTCCCTCCAGGAGTGAGAGGTCTAGACAGGGAGTAAATAAACCCATGGCGATGCACAACTCTCCAGCAACTCAAGCATCTGAGATACAGGAAGCAAGAGATAAAATTCCCCTCCATGCCTGCCACTTTGGAGATAAAGGCAATGAGTGTGGGCGGAAGGCAGCCGAGGTGGTCCCTGGCTGAGACTCCCAGTGTTGCGTTCCAGGTAGCCCCTCCCAGGCCTATTTTCCACTCCCTGTTCCTTACTTCTTCCCTAGAGTTTGCTTTTCCACTCATGTGGGTATTTTCCTTCTAGGGAGCCTGCAAAGGACCCAGAGCATCCTCAGGTTATCTTTCCCAGGGCCGGGCTGGCTGCTTGCTGGGTTCCGACCTTACCTCTGGCGACAGCCTTATCAGGTGTGGACAGAATCGGCTCCCCTGCTCTGGGAGCTCCCCATATCCAGGAC